GAGACTTATTAAATATCTCTAGTCTGCCCGCTTCCTTTCATAGCTTTTCCCCTGGTTGCGCTGCTTCCAGACATGAATTTTCATATAAAAGCATTTAACCAATCACATTTCAGACATCTTTGACTCTGACCCTGCCTAGCGACAAAGTATGTCTGCCTGGAGGCCTTCACAATCCGTTCTGCAGGCCCCCCCCCCACAGAAAATACATGTCGAGTACATTGTTGCTTCAACCAATCAGATTTTAGGTTGGTGATGCCGGGGCCTGCTGGAAGGCCCAGGAAATGTCACCGTATTCACGCCCGCTGATTGGATGGTCAGATATCCAATCAGGGAAAAGCTAGCAAACAAACCAAAATATAGTTGTGTTGGTGTAATGGAAATTTTATGATTTGGTGGCGGATTTACTGTCAGGACCATTTTCAAAACTGACTTTTCAAGAAAATTGAGTAAAATGTTTTTTTCCTAAGGGGGGGAGGAGGGGCACAGCTGTAGCTGCAGGAGTAGAAGACTTGTGCAGCCCTGATCTTTATACTGTATTTTAGGCTTGTCCCGATCCGATATTTAGATCGTTCCGGCCGGCATGAGAAAATGCTGATCCAGACTCCAGATCCATTTTTAAAAAAGAGTCCGATGCCACACGAGCATTAGCATTAGCATTAGCATCTCCTAACCCACAGGTCTGTGTCTTAAACTTATGTTGAACAGGGATTTACTCTTATAACAATTAGAGTCTGACAACTTAGTAAGAAGATAAATAAATTTCAACTTTAATACAAAAAGCTGGATCGGGACATCTATAACCATAAAATAGTTATTGAGGGGTGAATTATGAGGAATTTTGTATATATATATGTATATATGTATAGACATGTACATATGTATATGCCTTTGTTTTATTTTGCTTATGGAGCCTGTAACAAAAATAATTTCCCTCTGGGATTATTAAAGTATTTCTGATTCTGATCTGATTCTGATTCTGATTGATTCAGACGGAGCACTACTGAAGGCCTAGGTGTGAAATGCACGGTCCGCCACTGAGTGCCATAGCTGACCCTTTGCATGCCCTAACCTCCCCTAGGGTCCGTTTTTCTTGGTCCCCACAGGCCGACACCACATTCAAGCAGTGCTTCACGGTTCCAGACATTACACGACACAACATGGTGGAGGTGGTGTAGTGGATTAATATCTCACAATGAATATAATATCACAATGATTAATGGTGTGCCTGAAACATATATCAAGATGAGGTTGTATGAGAAAATAATGTGTGATGTGGAAGAACTTGGTCCAGAGGTTAAACCTTACCTAAGTGCCTGTAGGTGCAAGAAAACAGTTGTGTAAGCATATACAATGTCTAAAGGTCAATGCATATCTGGAGGTACAATGCACATCTGTAGGTACAAGGAACAGCCACGTAAACATGTACCATACCTTAAGGGGCAAAAGGCAAACAGAACGTGTATCACCCTACACGAGCAGTTACAAAAGAAAGAAAGTTAGGGGGCGTATATCATCTTAGAAACCATGACATTGGCCAGAATAAGCAATGACGTGTAAACAGGAAGGTGGGGCTAAGACGCCCATTTTAAAAAATACGTACTCTAGACGAATTTCCACCGGAAAAAAGATAACAGAGAGGGCCTTAAATTATATCATAATAGGAGGGGCTCAGGGAGGAGTCTCCGAGTCCCGAGGGATTGTATATAAGCAGACCACTTTCTCAATAGGCCAGATGTTAGCCTGGTTAACATCTCATGTGTGATGGACTTGTATTGCTGCAATAAACCATACTGGACCGAGACCCAGCTGCCTCTGCTTCTTTTTGACCACTGTTGGAGATTTTTCAACTGCTTTTCCTCAAATTTTTGAAAGACTTAGCACAATTCACTACGTCGTCAGGAGGACATCCACGACAGTGGACGCCTCCATCGACGGGGTAGGAGCCATCCTGTCCCAGAGGTCGCCTAAGGACAGGAAGATGCATCCGTGCGCCTTTCTCTCACAACGCCTGTCCGCAGTGGAGAAGAATTACGACGTGGGCAATAAAGAACTTATGGCAGTGAAGGTGGCATTGAATGAGTGGCGCCACTGGTTCGAGGGGACTAGCCAACCCTTTGAGGTTCTTATGGTCGGTCCAAACCACAAATACATTAGACAGACAAAAAGATTAAATTCTCGCCAGGCTAGGTGGACGCTCTTTTTTATCCATTTCTCGTTCTCTATTTCTTAGAGGCCGGGGTCAAAGAATGTCAAGCCCAATGCGCTGTCCCGGTTATATGACCCCGAGCCTGTTGCCAAGGAGCCCGAACCCATCCTTCCATGGTCCTGTGTGGTTGTAGGGTTCACTCGGCATATAGAAAATACCATTAAGCGAGCCAAAGGTGTAGCCCCGCCACCTATTGGGTGCCCGGAGAACAGGCTGTTTGTCCCAACTCCGGTGCGTTCACAGGTGATCCATTGGGCTCAAGCCTCGCCGCTTTTCTGTCACCCGGGAGTCAGGCGGACTATGTTCGCCATCTCCTAGCGGTTCTGGTGGCTGTCCATGGAAGCGGAGGTCCAGGCAGTACATTGCTGCCTTCTCGGTCTGCACCCGAAATAAGATATCCACCAGACCATGCTCGGGGGTGCTCCAATCACTACCTGTCCCCCTCCGACCCTGGTCGGACATATCAATTGACTTTGTGACGGGCCTGCCGACGTCCCTAGGTAACACCGCGGTCCTCACAGTGGTGGACCGCTTCTCGAAGACGGTCCAGTTCATCGCCCTGCCCAAACTAGTCTCTGCCAAGGAGACAGCCGAAATCATGATGATCCAAGTATTCTGAATTCATGGGTTCCCGAATGACATTGTGTCGGACCGGGGACCCCAGTTTATTTCCAGGATCTGGAAAGAATTCTGCGCGCTCATCGGGGCCAAAGCCAGTCTAACGTCGGGATACCACCCTGAGGCCAACAGGCAGACAGAGCGGCTGAACCAGCAATTGGAAACCGGCCTCCGCTGCCTGGTGTCCCAGAATCCGGCTACATGGAGCAAACACCTGGTCTGGGTGGAGTATGCCCATAATACCCTTCCCATGTCCGCGACAGGTTTCAGCCCGTTCAAATGCATTTTTGGCTATGACCCTCCTCTGTTCCCAGACCACGAACCCGAAGTAACCGTCCCCTCGGCCCACGCAGTGTTCCGTCCTTGCCACCGCATATGGGTGGCTGCCTGACGGGTCCTCACCAGGCAAGGGGATCGGGTGAAAAGGGCAGCCGATCGTCGGAGGACAATGCGCCTATGAACCCTCTCAGCTCGGATTCGGAAATGGAATGTCAGCTACAAATGATACAAATGAGGAAAAGAATGAGTCAGGGGAAAATCAATCAAAAAGACAAAAGGAAAACGAAGGCAAAGAAAATGACCTAGGACCAGATTGTACATCTTCATAAAATGCAGGACCATATGTCGCCTAATTAATAGCAAATTTGTGGAGAAATAAAAATAAATAAATAAATACTTTTGGTAGTATGCTTACAGGAAACAAAGTGGAATGAGAATTCGATAGAAAAAATACAAAACTTTGGAAAGGAAAATTGTACTATAATAATGGATCGAACTGTTCTAGTGGAGTTGGAGTACTAGTGAAAGAAGATTATTCAATTAATAATATCAGAGAAATACATAATGACAACATTGGTAGATTCTTAGCTTTAGATATGAATTATAATAATAAAAAAGTCAAAATAATGAACTGCTATGCACCCAATATCGAATCAGAAAGAAGAAAATATTTTGAGAAATTAATTAGATTCATAAACAATAATACTCTTCTTTTGGGAGATTTAAATGTGGCACTCTTGCAACAGGACGTCCCGGCTGAAAATATATTTAGAACTGGCTCTGGTAGAACAGCTTTAATAATAATAAATAAATAAATGCAGAGAGGCTGCATCCGGACCCCAGGGCCCAGGCCCCAAAGCCCTGGCCAAAAGAAAAAGGTCAAATGTAAAGGAACATGGGTTGGGGCAAAAGTGAAAGACTGGGCGGAGGGAAATCGCTCAACCACATGGGTACCACAGACAAGGTGAAAAACATCTTCAACCTTTAAAAAATGAGAGGCCTTGGTCATGGTAGCACACAATACTCTGTCAGCCAGTTTTAGTCCACCATTGTTATGGTCACTGATCAAACACAAAAAGATTAGCATTTAGGTTAAAATTGTTCACAAAATACTTCAATAACCCGGACCAACATGCTTGGCATGAGACTCTGGAGCGGTCAGTGCGCTCCTGTGGGAGACATGGATGGCTAAACTTGTGTCAGGCCTTGCTGGCGTCGGGTCTCTGTCACCATAGCCCTTTCTGGGCTGAGGTGATGGGGGCCTGGCAACAGTTTAGGCCTCACCTGAGTGCAAAAGTGGACATTCTGGAGGGACTTTGGGCTCAACCGCTCTTCTTTAACCCGGAATTCCATCATGTAGGGAAGCTGTTTAAATGTGAGGCTCTACTGCGGTGGGGGAGTAGATACACTAGCTCATATACTCAAGAGCTGCCCTCGAATTTGATCTAAATCCAATTTGCCCTCTTTATTGAGTAAAAACTTAGCATTAAGCCACAGCTGGATAAGGAGGGTCTGCACCCAGCTTTTGAACAGTATACCCCCAGAATGGCTGACAATGCTCGACGGTCAAAGGCCGAACAAGAGATAAAACCAAACCAGAGTTTACCTTTAATTATGGGAACAAAACATTAGGAGCTGAAGGAACTGAAAATAAGAACCATGTACAAGATATTGAATAAAATTATAAATAAGCCAGCATTAACAAATCAGTGGGAAAATATGTTTCAAAGCATATCAACAAAAGAAATCTGGAAAACGATAACCAACCCATTAATACCACCTACAGTTCTAAGCACAGATTTCAAAATAAGACAGATTAATATACACAAAAATAATTCTGCATCAAATTAGCAAAGAAAGGTGGGACAGAAACTGCACGGCATGCGCAAAACAACCGGAAACAATAGGGCACATTTTCACATCATGTATATACTCTAGCAAATTTAGGGACAGATTGTGGATTTTGATGGAACAGGGTTGCAAGTTATATCTAAAAAACGACAAGAAACTTCAAATACTGTTCTTTGGCATAATCACTTCAAGTAAAGAAATAAATCCAGTCCTGGTGAACTTCCTGTTATCAGTCGCAAGACATGTGGTGTATATAACAAGAAATACCGTATTTTCGCGACTATAAGGCGCATATAAACGTCTTTGTGTGTTGTTACTGCGGACATTGTTGAGACCACCATGAGAACGTTAAAGGGGGAAGTGTGGGCGTGGATTGTGTGGTAAAGAGACACGCATATGAAGCACAGTTTAAACTGAAGGCTATCAGCTACGCAGAGGAACATGGAAATCGAGCAGGTGATAGAGAATTCAAGATTAATGAATCGATGGTTCGCAAGTGGAGGAAGATGGAAAACGAACTGACAGGTGAAGAAGAAGCAGCCGAGTTTCCGCGGACATAAGGCGAGGTGGCCCGAGTTGGAGGAAAGACTCTAGCGGT